ATAGTGAATTTAATTATACATTACCAATGCCAAATACTAATGCTATGAAAAAATCATTGGCCTACAGAGGTGCAGAGACTTGGAATGCTCTCCCAATTGACCTGAAGTCGTTAGGAAGTATAGCAACTTTTAAGAGTGGGATAAAACAATGCAGATTGATATAATGTTAAGTTATAAAATTTTTTTATATTTATAGTAGTTAGCACACGCCCTATTGGAAGATCACTTTTTTCTGGTTGTTTTTGTAAATAATATATTTTTAATATAATGTGAAATAGTACCGTGTTTAAATAAAGTTGAAGTTGAAGTTGAAGTTGAGGTAACCTTTGCTCGTTCACCGTCCTTATGTCTGTGACCTTTGCCGATGAGCTTATCACGGAGTTGTTCTGATGCTAAGCCTGATATGAACTGGTCTCGCATGAGTTCGTCTTCAAAACTCTCGTTTTCGCACTGAGCACTCTGATTTCGTATACGGGACTCCCATGAACTTATCGATTCAGCGTCTTGTTGCAGTAAGCAAAGAAACTTTTGCCGTTCGCCCGAGACTCCAATACTTGCGCCGTAATATTCTCGCAATGCTTGAAGTACTGAATGAGGCTTCTTATGCTCTGCTTCGCTAAGAGCTAAGCTGTATTTGTATACAGTTCTTGCTGATGGTGTAAGACACGCTCAAAGGCAAGCTATTGCTTTGCCAGTTTTGATCCATCTCTCTTCTTCGGTTGACTTTGACGGGTCATACCAATTATTTAGCGTACAGTAATCTTGTAAATCTTCTTCAAAGATCTCCATGTCGCGCTTGTCGTCTCCTGTACTTTTGAATATTGGAAATGGAAAGTTCGTAGCCATTATTTAATGTTAAGTTGCTCTTTGTACCGTGATGTTAGACGTGTATATTTGTCTAAATCCCACCGCTGCCACCATGTTAATATTGCTTTATTATTCTCTAGAACCTTAGTAACATACATAATAAGAACCTACTGTATTTATACTGTTTACATGCATGGTTAGCATAAATGTTAATATAACCTATCAACAAGTCATGTAAAATAAAATGGATTATTAATTAATGGGTGCTTTATTAAATATGTTGGACGTGTACTGATGCAGTAGCGGCAATTTTCGAACGAAAATTTATATACAGTGTTAGACGTAACTGGGAGCAGCTGCAACTTTAGGCCCTCTAACACTCTAACTTAACAGTAATCTGACTATTGAGCTACAAAGTGTAAGATACCAGTTGCTGGAAATTAATTACAAGTTCCTGTGTTAGCAAGTTAGCGACTTCACCGTACAATATTTATATTCTATAATGTTTTTAAATTTTCTCACCTATTTGGAGCATTGACGAATGACGCTTGGTGCAGATTATTTGAAAAAAATAAAATTATAAACTACAGATGTAAACTAATATAAATACAAGACGCCAACTCGGCGTTAACCTCGGGTCGGTGGATAGGGCTTCGTCTGGTAAATATGCAAAAATCGTGTAAATCACGATAGTTTAATAGTTCACTAGTATAACAGCAAAAAATCATTTTCTTATTTTAAGAAAAAACAAACTTGTTTTAAGAAAATTTTCTTGAAATAAGAAAATATTTTCTTGGGAGAATAACAAGAAAATTTTCTTAATAAGAAAATTTTCTTAAGAAAATTTTCTTATTAAGAAAATTTTCTTAAGAAAATTTTTCTTATTAAGAAAATTTTCTTGAGAGAAATTCTTAAATTGAGAAAATATTTTCTCATTTTAAGAAAATATTTTCTCAAATCAAGAAATTTTTTTTTCTTAATAAGAAAATTTTCTTGTTATTCTCCCAAGAAAAAAGTTTTCTTGAAATAAGAAAATTTTCTTAAAATAAGAAAATAATTTCTTATTTTAAGAAAATAATTTCTCAAATCAAGAAATTTTTCTTAAAAAGAATTTTCTTATTAAGAATGTGTTGCTTGGGTGTTTATATGTACAGGTACTCAGGTGAATATTGTTTTTGATGTTACTCTGAGTGTATTATGCAGTTAGCAGAGCATTGGACTAGTGTCCCAAAGGTTGCGGGTTCGATTCCCACCATGGTCAGGCTAACTTTTTAGCCTGCCCGGTGTGGATATACACTCAGAGTAACATACAAAACATCAAATTATTGTCAATTTATACAAGTTCTTTTTTCAGCTGCACTATTACACAACTAGGTGTAGTTCTGATTGCACAGGAATGTGTTGTAGCAAATTTAAGTTCTCCTGAAGACCTGAAGCAGTAATTTTTCAACTCTTTCCACATGACAAGCAATATTATCTGACAAACCGTTTGTTCAAAGCCCATAGATTTCTTTATAATGCACATTAAACACTGTTCCAAACACATCATGCAAATGCCACTGGAGATCCATCATATATACATCCTTATACAGCTAGTAATATGTAAAAGTTTACTTACATATATATTGAGAATGTAAGCATCACTCTAAGTATTATATGTGGTGTATACAGAAATATAAATGAATTTATTAGCGATTTTCAGCAGCCTTTCGCGCTTGTATTCGACTTTTCTGCTTTGCTTGGGGGACAACCTTAATTGAAATAGCTATATATATACAAAATTGCAAGAACAATAGACCTGGAGACGTGCTTGCTAATCTGAATCACTCCTCAGTTACCTAAGTTAACTAGATTAAAAAGCATAGACGGATTTTGGGGGGGTGCTACCCCCCCCCCTAATATTATCTATAACTCCTCCCCCAAACAAAATGACCACCCCTCCAAAAAACTATTTCAACACCCCCCCAACATTTGGCATAATAAAAAATAATTAAATAGTCCACTCCAACACGCAGAGTGTTGATGATATAAAATAAACGTAGGAGTACACTCAAATAGAAAAAGACAGTGCATTCACTGGTTTATTGGAGCAATTGTAAAGTTTTGAAACTCTATTATCTCCCCTGAATAGAGTTTGCAGTGCCTTCTCATGTAAATAGCTTGCTCGGAAGGAACATTTGGATTTTTACGAACATTATTTTTAGTTTTTAATGCTTTTAGAAAATAGACTTGCCTAGATTTAATCTTTATGCCCCAATTATTATTTACATCGGAGTTGCATCATAAAATGTATTCGGATTCAAACGACACAATGTCAATGACTTTATAAAACTGGTAAAATTATTGGCCTATTAGGTTCATTTTACGTTTAACACTCCCAAGTCTCATCAGACAATCGGACATGCCAAATCCACTGATATGACCACTTCAAAAAACTTTTTCAAAGCTAGGAATCATGATTTTTTTTAAATTTCTCCAGGGATACTTTGTTTTCTGCTCTCTAGACTCCCCCTCACATCTCTAGTGCTCCACCTCTAGAATATAGACCTTACTGGGGTATGGTGACACTTTGTGATGCTTCAGTCACCTGCTCACGGCTCACCCCCCCCCCCTAAAATTTCTGGCACCATGCACCACAGTAAAAAATATGAAATTCTGTCTATGTTAAAAAGATAGACGAGTATTAATTTTATGACTTATTATTTATAATATAATTCATTTATAATATAATTCATTAATATAATTAATTTAATATTATTTATAATATAATATCATTCTTATCTAATACAAAGGGTTTATTGTTTAATGTTATAATCGGCCAATCACCTGTTCATATTGGTAGAGGACGAATGAGGGAGTATTAAACTACATATGTTTTATATAAATTTTATTAAGCAGAGACATGGCTGTAGGCAGATACAGATGTCCTGGATTCAGTTATCATTTTCTTGTGGCAAGTGCCCAGTAGACTATTATCCCTTATTCATGCACCAAAGCTGCAATATTAAGAAATGTAATAATTTGTCCAATACCATATCACACAGCTACTGACAGTATAGTTTACTTCCGGTTGCTGTTCATGGTTCTTACCAGCTGTATTTATGGAAGCTGGGCTGGACCGCTTAGCGGGACAGCCCGGTAAGCAAGATCTTACTGCATTAGGTATATTTATCTAGAAAAAATTATCATGTGTTTATATGGATCCACAAGCAGGCTGGCTCTGATGCCACAATGTTGCTTATTGGGATGAAAATTTCTCCACATATACACTCACAAGCCGGCTGGGCCAGGATGAATGTTCAAAGATGCCGAGCTGCAAGCTATTTTTAACAACTGTCAAAACAATGTCAACATAACAAAATTGTCCCGGCGAGCAGGATGGCATTTTCTCATATAAACACAATCTTGAACTGTATTAGTGATGCATCGATATATGGAAATTCACAGATATTCTGATAACTGATAATAAAAGACCAATACTTTGCCGATACCGATAATACATGTCATTTCACGAAATTCAAAGATGACTGATACACCAATATGGATATCAGTACATCAGTAGGCGAGTTACCCGGCAAGGTGAGTTACTCACTCAGGCAGGACAAAAAGCAGTCTATTTATATGAAATCAAGTTACCCCATTATTGCTGCGCAATGACAAAATACAAACACAATTTGGATCATTCAAAAGATTTAAAAAACATGATTACAAAATAGGCAAGAAGAATAAGCTGCTAGAAATAGAGGAAAGCTATAAACATACCTAATGATTTGTATGTATTTTTGGGCTATTATTTTAAATGAAAGGCATATACATTCTATCTAGGGTTGCAGAGTTTCCCGGGTGAAGCATAGTAAGTCGGGAAAACTAAACATTCTCTACAGTAGCCAAGTTATCCGGCAAGGCAAGTAGGAAAATCCTCTGGCATTAGACAGAGTAAACAATAAAGTAGGATGCAATTCAGTTATTCAGCTATCTATACACTAAAAATATCAGATTAAATGCTGTCATTCTCCTGTAATTCCAATCCTTATTCAAGTATTAAAATGCCAAACATATCTCCAAAAACATCCGTATGTATAATAATATAATATCTTATTTCATATCACTATATAGCCTTGAGTCCTGACATTTGAAAGGTCTAGCAAAGTGCCAATGTCAAAGGCAATTTAATATTGTCAAATTGTTAATATTAGTGCGTAAATTAGTATGGAATTCACAATAATAGATTTGAATTTATATTTTAATCTTTCGTCCCATGCCTGAAAGCAACATTTGCATGTTTTATATGCAAAACGAACGCGGCAAATTCAAACATTCAATGGAATATTTTCACACTTCGCTCAAGTAAACAGTCATAATCACTACATTATTTCGCAATGAATATGTTTAAATAACAAGTCAAATATACAATTATTCTTACCTGTGGTATCTGAACAACATTTAAGGACTTTCTGATGCTTTTCCCATCGATATTTGCCATTTAAATTGCCTTTAATTCCATTATGATATATTATAAAATTTTTCACAAAAATGTAAAACGACGCTATCCCGCGATGCTCCGCGTTCTAAAAGGTAAACTAGGTACCAGGCGTTTAGTGAATACGCGAACTATGGCGAACTATTCCTGCTTGGATAAAAATTCCGGAGTGCAAAAATTCTCTTCAACGATTCAATAAAACTGAAACGAGCTCAAATTTTGGAAACGAAATAAAAACAAAGTGACTATATTACCGGCAGCCGGTCTAACTCTCAAAAGGTTAGGGTTAGGGGTTAGGGTTAGAGAAGGGTTTGGGGATCGGTTTATCTATCTTAT